TGGGCCTATTGTTGTGTCGTTACGCCATTGTCTTTAATGTTTGTATATTGACGTGCATAATTAACCGCAGTGTTTCTGTTGACAGGTAGTTGTTATTATATATGAAAAATGTAAATGTTTAATAAGTTTGAACATTCCCCTTCAGAGTATTACTGCGGCCACAGTCTGTATTAGAGGGAAAAAATGGTAAGGGTTAAAGGGGAATGCCAGTTTTTTTTACATTGGGTCCTTGATTTTACATTATTTCATCATGTTCTACTCACCCATATGAGTTTTGTATCATTTGGAACTGTTCTGAAGATATTCTGTTAGTTTATATCCAAGTAATGTCTTCCTAGTTGAAGGCACAAACTAAACTGTTCATAATTTATAATTTATGGTACGCCAGCATTCATAACATGTAGGCGAACCACTGTCCCCCAGACATCCGTGGTTATATTTTTACATTTATATTTTTTTGAAACAAAGCGGAGTGTGTATGACGTCATCCGTGCGCCAGACTGGAGTTGTGATAGGCAGCCCGGGCCACAGGCGGCTACGCTCTACCCCTTCTATTCATTCTAGCTAATCTGAATCATTCAATTCTATTTGGAGAGCGATATAATCTGTGGTAGCAGTACTAGACATCTTTCAGGCATGTGAGGAAAACTGGCAGCAATTCAGCAGACAGGGAGAATGAACAGTAGCCGGCGCACGCGGATGACGTCATACATGCGCCGTTTCGTTTTTAAAAGATAAAAATATAAAAAAATATAACCGCAGATGTCTGGGGAACAGTGATTCGCCTACATGTTATGAATGCTGGCGTACCATAAAGAATAAATTATGAACAGTTTAGTTTGTGCCTTCAAGTCGTTGCCCATAGGAAGACGTTACTAACAAAACCGAATATCTTCAGAACAGTTCCAAATGACACAAAACTCACATGGGTGAGTAGAACATGTGTTATAATGTAAAATCAAGGGCTCAATGAAAAAAAAAAACAAAAAAAACTGTGTTCCCCTTTAACCGCAGTGTTTCTGTTGTCAAGTAGTTGTTAATATATGAAATATTTAAATATTTAATAAGTTTGAACAGTCTCCTTCAGAGTATTACTGCGGCCACTGTCTGTATTAGAGGGGAAAAATGGTAGCGGTGGCCCCCCCTGGCCCCCCATCTAGCTCCGCCCCTGGTTTCCCCCTTAAAGTGGATATTATGAATTTAGAATAAGAGGCCCCTGCAGCAGTATAAGGAAATCAAGCAGAAAGGAGCTGGGTGAGAGAGAACAGTAACAGTAGGCGGGCCCCCAGGGAGCCGCTTTGGGGAAGAGGTTACTGTACACCACTAACAGGCTGCAGGTTCATTCTTGTTAACTCTGCCCACCATGTGACTGTAGATAAGTGATACCAGAGAAGCTCTCACACATTATTCCTCTATGAATGTTTTCTATCATTGAAAGAGGCTGAAGGTTTGGCAGAAAACTGCTGGAGATGTTTTGGTTCGAGCAGGGGCTCTGCTTCCTGCCCGTGTTTCTGGTCGTCTGGTCCTCCTGCACCTTCATCGTCCCTTACATTATTGCGCTCTTTAGAGGCGATGTGGACATCATCTTCCCCTATATAAGGTGAGTTTATTTCATCACATTTAAGAGAACAAAACCTTAAACTTTTTTTTCTCCATACTGTGATTTTGAGTCAAGCGCTTTAGTTTCGTTTTCCTGCGCTGCACGTAGACCCAATTTCATTCCTAACCGATTCTTGTCTATGACTTTACTTTAAAGTTAAAATCCTAGTTAGAAGGAAAATAAACTTAAAAACAAAAGTATTATGGACTAAAATGTATAAACTGAAAGCTTTAAAGGACAATAAACAATTAGAATAAGAAATCCTTTTATTGTCCCACAATGGGGAAATTAAATATAGTCACTTAATTATTATTTTAGACTTTTAGAATATTTATATTCTCTCCTAATTTCTCCTATAAGCAGATTTAACTGTATTTAAACCTTACAAATTGTTCAAACTATTTAACAAATCCAGTAATGAAGGAAATCTTCAGCATTTCAATGGGAAGGAAATGATGTAAAAATCTGACAAAAAGCATGGATGCTTAGAAACGTTTATATTGATGCACCAAAGGAAACTCCACTACAATTCATTGCTTTAGGTGGCTGTGTTTGATTTTATATCAGCATGTAAAGTGTTCTGCGAAGGCCTTTTTTTAACTTTTCTTAATAAACACTATTGATTAAGTATGTATGAACAGCATCGCCACGGTGGTGGAAGCATGATGCTGTGGAGATGCTGTTCTACACCATATGATGGGTTTATTTTACAGACTAAAAAATTACCCGGAGCATACATCCATAATTTAATTAATTTAAAAAGATTAGAGAAAATTCTTATAGAATGGTCTAGTCAAAGTCCTATTATCTATCCAATTAAGGGTTTTCAGATGCGCTCCAGTTGAGTTTTACTGCTAGTTGCTTTTGTTTAAGAGTTAATAGACATGAATGTAAAGAAAGAGGAGGGGGTTATATATTATATTAAGGTCAAAAATCAAAGCCAGGGTTGTTGCTTTGTTGAGTGTGGTCTCTATATATGGATCACACAGCGCCCCCTAGAGATCCTTTATTTTCTTTTGGCTAAACTTTATCTATTTGCAAAGAATGGACAGAAATGTTTTAAATGTGCAAAGCTGGCAAATCTTAAAAAAAAGACCTGCAGGGTGTATGAATACAAATAGGGCATGTCGATTTTGTGCTGGTTATTTAAATTAAATCAGTTTTAAGTATTCTTGCAAAACATTATTTATTTTTTTCTCAGTGACACGGGGGCAAATCCACCCGAAAGCTGCATTTTTGGCCTGATGACCTTCATTTCTGCATGTGCAGGTATTTTCCTTTTTGAATTACATAATATCTGCTTTGATTACGTAACTCTGGGTTCTTACAAGCGAGCAAACAAGCTTTCCAACGATATTACACACATTTCCCATTTTCGTTAAGATACATAGAGTAAGCCTTATGTAAGACGCTTCATGTGTAAAATTGTTTTTTTATGACTTTGTGGTAAACTAACTGTGACCTTTGCACAGGAATTGCCACCATATATGCCAGATATAAGTATATGGAGAAGCTGAATGAGCGGAATAGCCTTGTGAAACCATGCCTTAATAAAACAACACTCTGTTTGGGGATTATTGCCTGCTTCGGGATGTGCATAGTTGCTTCTTTTCAGGTAATTCACCTCCTTTTATATGTTTATATATCACTGAATACTCCAATGTAATGTTAAATTATGGTTTTCATTCTTTTTCCCTGCAGGAAACAGCAGTCACATCAGTCCACGATGTAGGAGCGCTGTTATTTTTCATTTCTGGAGTTGTTTACATTATTCTGCAATCTGTAATATCATTCCAAGCATGTCCGTACGGGTCGTCCATCTGTATGAGTCGAGTCCGTTTGCTGATCTCACTCATCGCTGCACTTGCATTTTTTCCCAGTATCCTTTTACAAAGAACATATGCTTCTTATTTGCATGACCTGCATTTGTGTTATTATTAGCTGAGACTCGACTCTGAAAAGTGGAAATTTCCTTTAACCAGCAACTAAGCTTTGATCTGTGCAGTTATTGTTAAAAAAACAACCCTCCACTGGCACACATCTGATAAGGTAAGCAGAGAGATTTTTTATATCATAAACATTCAGTCGCTGCTAGAATGGAAGAACTCTCCTATAAGCACTTAATGCCGCCTCATGTGAGAAACGTGGTTTGGAAGTGCTAAGAGGAATTGAAATCTTTAGCCTAAGTAAAGGATTCTGTACATTTACCGTAAAAAAATGGTGCCAACTGGGGCTGCAACACATTAGAAAAACAAACACCTGGAATATTATGACATGGATATCAATTGTGATTTACTCATATTGTTCTCTCATTCGCGTCTTTCTCTTCATCATGTTGTAATTGCTAATCTCACTAAAACTAGAGCATGTATGGGCAACAAGGGCAGTCCACTTCTGCCCGAATTCCTAAATAGATTATAGAAATTCACCCCAAATGTTGCACCAAAACAGTCTTTTGCAATTGCCACATTGCGCATATTTATACTGCTGTGTTATTTAAGAAATAATATTTTGTGCAATTCTACTAACGTTTTTGTGTTGAACATGCATCTATTTTAAGGTAAAAAAAATGCTGCTTAGCATTTTAAAATCAATATTAAATTACAACTAAGGAAAAATGCATCTAATTCTCACAGACCAGCAATGTTTGTGAATATTTTATTAGAAAATAGTGTGTTTTTCTGGTTTCAATAGATTCTGCTAGATTCTTGAGTCAATTTGAAGCACACATGTGGTTGTATTCTAAGCCAACACCTCAAACATGCTTCCTCCTTTCATGAAATTGTGGAAAATCAGCCAGTGTATCAGGAGGGGAAGCATGAACCACAGACATGCCAGGTTCAGCCACAATTTACGGGAATCTGCAGGTGTCACATTCATTTGGTGAAAGATTTTTAGAAATACCGTTCGAACGTCCTGCCCTTGAGACATTTAGAAAGGAGATGGTTCTCTGTCCCTGAGAGGACATGTTGTCTTGAAAAATATTTCTATCGACTCCAAAACGGTCTGACTAAAACAAAAGTATTCAAATGTTCTGAAGGTTGATTTCAGAGACTAGGTTAGCTGATTGGCCTATGTTGGTGATAGACGGGCCAAATAAACCAATCAGATCAACGAAGCATATGACGTAACAGAGCAACGACGAAGAGGAGCCAATTGATAGATCAAACTCTTGCCGAAACTAATCGGGAGAAGAACAGAAACATCTTTTCCTCTGAGAAAAGCCTCCAGAGCAGTGTTTTGCTCTTCTTTCAG